AAGAGAGGATTGATTCTGACCCTAGCAAGCCAAGAGTGATTGTGATTGGGGCAGGACTGGCGGGCTTGTCTGCAGCAAGACAATTGATGTCATTTGGTTTTAACGTTACCGTTTTGGAGGGAAGAAAGCGGGCAGGTGGGAGGGTGTATACTAGGAAGGTTGAGGGTGGGAATCGGGAGGCATCTGCAGATTTAGGAGGAAGTGTATTGACTGGCACATTAGGGAACCCACTTGGAATTCTTGCAAGGCAACTCTCTTATACACTTCACAAGGTGAGGGATAAGTGCCCGCTCTACAGGCCAGATGGGAAACCTGTTGATCCGGATTTGGATAATAAGGTAGAGACCGATTTCAACAGACTTTTGGACCAGGCGAGCAAGCTAAGGCAGTCAATGGGGGATGTCTCTCAGGATGTGTCTCTAGGGGCTGCACTGGAGACTTTCCTCCAGATCAATGGTAATGAGGTAAATGCTGAGGAAATGAGCCTTTTTAACTGGCATCTTGCAAATCTTGAGTATGCAAATGCAGGGCTGCTCTCTAAACTCTCATTAGCATTTTGGGACCAAGATGACCCCTATGATATGGGAGGGGATCATTGCTTCTTGCCTGGCGGAAATGGAAGGCTTGTTCAAGCTTTAATTGAGAATGTTCCTATTCTCTATGAGAAGATTGTGCACACAATTCGTTATGGGAGTGACGGCGTGCAGGTTGTTGTTGGGACACAGGTCTTTGATGGTGATATGGCACTGTGCACTGTTCCGCTTGGAGTTCTCAAGAACGGGTCGATTAAGTTTATACCAGAGTTGCCTCAGAGGAAGCTTGATGGAATAAAGAGACTGGGATTTGGTTTGTTGAATAAGGTTGCAATGCTTTTTTCACATGTTTTCTGGGGTACTGATCTCGACACATTTGGGCATCTGGCCGAGGATCCCAGTCACCGTGGGGAGTTCTTTCTGTTTTATAGCTATGCACCTGTTGCAGGTGGTCCCCTATTGTTAGCTCTAGTAGCTGGAGAAGCTGCTCACAGATTTGAGAGCACGCCCCCCACTGATTCTGTGGCACGTGTTCTTCAGATTCTAAAAGGTAAAAGTATAAAACCACATTCTTGGGTGCAGTACCTGTCTTTTTTTTAATACAGCTATTTCTATATTTTTGTTCAAATTTGTGATGTGTAAACTGTCACATAATGAGACTTTTTGAAAAGATGAACCCTAGCAAAGGGCTAGGTGGGATAATGGATGAACCCTAGCAAAGGGCTGAATGTTTTAAATTTAATATAATCATTTACATATTTGACCACCCTTCCGCCTAGGAGATAAAAAACAAACCGGAATAAAATCAAGCGCTTTTCCAATATTTACACACACACTTTGTGTGTATAGACAGTGTAGTTTCAACAAAAACACTTCTTCATGTAAAAACTAGAAATATTTTTTCCGAAGCATAGTGGGTCATTTTGATGTATTTTGACACTTTTTGTGGTGATAGGAAAGTTCTGTTTTTTACACGACCACCACTGTGCTTTTTTTGAACTTTTCCTAGATTTTTGCCTCATGATGGCCCTTAGATCTTGGATCCAGTGCCAGTGTATTGGTTTTTAGTTTTCATCTAAAACACAGTTTTTATTCGATCTTGTGTGTGTAATTATCATCACCTTAATCATAAGTTCACAACCAGTTTGTGTTGGTGGGGCTGAAATCATAGTGCCCATTAGCACTAAGTTCATGCAAAAAGAGAGTGGCAATGTTTAACAGTGGATTCCATTCCCGTTGCAACATTCATAATCATAAGAATGAATAATTAGATAAAAATCATGTTACTTCAAGTCCAACTGCTATATTATTCCCTCCATCTCCAAAAAGTCATGTTTCAAACACTTTGTTCTCAAAACCTCTTTAAACATGATTTTGCTGTAATTAGGGATATTTGAACCACAAGGAATTGAAGTGCCTGAACCCATCCAAACGGTCTGTACAAGATGGGGTAGTGATCCCTTCAGCTTCGGTTCCTACTCTAATGTTGCCGTAGGTGCATCCGGGGATGACTATGATATTCTAGCTGAAAGTGTGGGAGATGGTAGGCTTTTCTTTGCAGGTGAGGCCACCACAAGGCGATACCCAGCTACTATGCATGGAGCTTTTCTCACTGGGCTTAGAGAAGCTGCCAATATCTCTCAATATGCTAAAGTTAGAGCATTGAGCATGAAAGTTGATAAAACCCCTTGGAAGAACGCTCATTCTTGTGCTTCTCTTCTTACCGATCTATTCAGGCAACCAGATTTGGAATTCGGAAGCTTTTCTGTAATCTTTGCTAGAAAAGTAACTGATGCAAAATCGACAGCGATTTTAAGGGTGACATTTAGTGGGTCGAGGAAGAAAAGTCACGATGGGTTAAAGCCCGATCAGCATTCAAACAAATTGCTCTTTCAGCAGCTTCAGTCTCATTTTAATCAGCAGCAAGAACTTCATGTTTATACATTATTATCTAAGGAACAAGCAATGGAACTGAGAGAGGTGAGAGGGGGCGATGATGCAAGGCTGAATCATCTCTGTGAAAAATTTGGGGTGAAGCTTGTTGGGAGGAAGGGTCTGGGGCCATCTGCAGATGCTTTAATAGCTTCCATCAAGGCCGAGAGGGGAAAACGTAAACCCAGACCAAATCTTCTTAAATCTGGTAAGTAATTTTTATTTTATCTACCTTTTACGCCCAGGCTATGCTTACAAGTTACAACTCGGGAAATGGTGACAGAAAAAAACAATACTCCGTATTAAGTAAAAAGGCTCTATCTTGGAAAACCAGATTTTATTAAACGTTTTTACTTTTACTAGGTTTTCTAGTCTTTCTTCAATAGAAATATTCAAATAAATTGAGTAAAAAAATATCTGAATGGATTCAAGGAGCTGGAATCAATTTTTTTCTACTTTTCCACACATTTCTTTCACTTCCAAATTCCTATCTATTTGCCTCTTTATATCCTTTCCCTAGTATTTTCCAGGTTGCAAATGAATATACCTTTTCATTATTAGAACATGCTCATAATTATGAACACAAGAGCATTGTACCTGATTTTTTTTCTTTTGCTACCTGTTTTTTGGAAGGTTTATCAACTTCAAGGGTTGCCTTGCCAAACCGGAGAGTAGTAAGGTATTTGTTATCCTACTTCAGTTGTCTGAGTACATCTTAAAAAAAGAAACGCTGCGGTCTCGTTTGGATTCACTTGATCTTCTCAGGAACACGTGAATTTCTAGACGTGGATGTAATTGTTGTATTCATCGTCTGAGATTTTCATATTATATACATATATATAATTTTTCCAGAAAGGCGAAAATAGTGCGCAGAGGCAATGGAGTGACTGCAACACCCACCAGAGACGCTGCCCGAATGGAAGCAGTTAGAACACTCCAGAATAAACCAGAAGTGACCAATAACAACTCTGCAAGAGCAGCAAGCAATGCCCCTAGCTGTAGTCAGGTTTCAAGTTCAAAGAGTACCCAGAATGCAAATGGTGTTAACTATGGATTCTGCAACGGTATGAGTTCTACTTCAACGTTCACCCCTTCACTGAATTCTTGTACTGGTAATTTCTATACTATGGGTTCAGAACCAAGCAACAAAACCTGTAGCACGGGCTCGAACCCTCCGAGTCTGACCCTTGAAGAGATTTTTGGGGACGATAGAAGTGGCGGCGGCCCCACTCACCCCCCAAGTAATTGTGATGATAGAACACAGACATTTAATCTGCCTCCCAGTGTGAACTTTGATTTCCAGTAGTTTTGATATATATTGTGAGTTTATTTTTTTGTTTGTTTTTAAATAGTAGACTGTGTGTAGTGTGATTGGGATTTGGGGTGATTCATTGCAATTTTTAGATTAATGACACCAACCAAATTCTACTGTTATTTACTGATATGGAAAAAGGAAATGACATGTACTTTGTTCTTAATGAATGTTAATATTTATGCAGAAATCACTTTATCCACCTAATCCACTTTTTTTAACGTCCCAGAAACACTTCCCTCCAGCTTTATTTTCTTTTTGGTAATGAACATGGATATGACAAGATTTCTCTCATCTTAATAAATTCTAAAAATACATTCTTCAATCCTTTTTTTTAAATTTTTGTGAAAATCAAAATTGGCAAAGTTTTTAAAGATGGAGTAAGTATGAGATAAAATGTATTATTACGGAGTAGTAAGATATATACTTGTAAAAACTAAGGGGGATGTATTCAATTGGGATTTTATTGGATTTTTTTAGATTTTAAAAAGTTAATGGATTTGAAAAAATTGTAGAATTCATGTAGAGTTTGGTTGATTTTTTGTAATATCCATGTAGAGTTTGAGAATTTTATAGAGTCCATGTAGAGTTTGTAAAATATGTGTGTAGAATTTTTGCAAAAATAACTTCAAGGAATAATGAGTAGACAGAGGTGGACAGATCACCTTCTTATCACCTTCTCCGCACAAATCACAAAGTTTGTAAACCAAAAAATAGCAGAGAACGGAGGACAGAAAACGAACGAACAGAGTAGCGGATCGGGCCAAGGACGTCATCCGGACAGAGGTAGACAGATCAGCGGCCAATGATCGGAGCAACGATCGGATAGACGAGTCACAATCATACTCGCTATCGGAAGATGAACAGTCAGATGATCTGGATCCAGGTCTGGGAGACTAGCCAGACGAACAGTGGAAGTAAAAACTATGTGTATGTGCGAAAATGGAAGTCTATAAAAATCTGGGGGTGTGAGAAGAGATTTTGTAGGAGTGAAATGTAAGCATTTTTTGAGAGAAAATCCAATAAAATCCATAGAGTTTTAAAACTCATAGATTTTTGAATATCTCAAAATTTTTAAAGACTTTTGAAAATCTAAATGGAATACTTCAATATTTTTAAAGACTTTGAAAAATCCTTATTGAATACCTCAAGATTTTTAAAGATTTTTAAAAATCCACATTGAATACATTCAGATTTTAAAAATCTAAAAAAATCCATCAGACTCCCAATTCAATACACCCCCTTAATCATGGCAAGAAACCATGCTGGGAAACAAAGGTCTCAAAAGCTTGCATTCTTTCACCCCGAGCGAAACCATTGCGATCGTAAGACGAAATCTCATTGATGTTAAGATCTATACAAGTCTTCACAAGCTCTTCACCGACACGTTTAGCTGCTTCCTGATGAAAATTAGTGACCAAATTAGGTTCTGTTTAACGAGCATTTAAATTTTTCTTTAGTGTGCAATGATTGTGTACACTGTGAGTGCTAACTGTGTTTTTCACTTAGTGAGAAATTCATATTTTACTAGTGAACTTATAAGTCATCGTGGAGAAATAATCGTACGGTATTTGATGGATACCCTAGACCAAGGGATATCAGACCCAAGGAAGAGGACTCAAGAGCCCAAAATTTCAGGCCTTGCGCAGAGTTTGAGGTCGGCCTTGGCCCAGTGTTTGTCCAGAGGCCCAATTGGCCAACCCGGTGGATTGGAGGATTTGGCATGCTTCATTTTGGGCATTTGGTCGGCCTCCTCTGGGCTACCTTGGCAGCCAAAACAGGAGGTGGCCCACCTCGTAGCTAGGCTCTCAGAGGCAGTAGTTAGTCTGGACCGGCCTAGCTGGTTGGGCCGACTGAATAGCTTGGTCATTTGGGTCAGAAGCGGATCCAAATAGGTCCGACTAAGTTAGAGTTTGGTCCAAGATATGCATATGCCAACGGGGTTTCACGTTCACCAAAACATAAAGGAGTTATTGTTATTCGAAAGAGTATATATATACGTACAATGGTGCTGCAAGGGGGGTCTCCACGGATTGATTCTTGCAGAGTGCTCCCATGAAACAAACATTTCTTATTTTGATCATCTACCAGCATAGCATACAGCTGTTTTTGTGAACAGAACACTGAAAGCCTCGGTCTTGTCGGCGTGCCATTATACTGATCAAGAAACAAGTCAAATATTTGGATTATTGCTATCAGTTTGGCCAAGCAAAATCTTGCCCTAAAGTAATTTCAAGTGTAAGAAGTTAAGCTTTGATGTTAGAGGAACATACTCTTAGCCACCTTTTTAAAGTAGCAATGGACTCTCTTGGATGAGGGATTTTAATGAGTTTGTTTTGTTTTGTTGTTGTTTTAGCACAAACTTCACCAACCCAAACTTAGTTCTAGACACTAGTCCATAAACAAGACATTGGTCTTTGAGCTTCACCTTGTTATGTCAAGCAACACAACCTAATTCATACTTGATCTTTAAGAATGTTTCCCACCCACATCACTAAAAAAGAAATGAAAGATCAGAAGCAGATGATTGTCACCTTTTTTCTAAATCTTCTGTTACGAATCTTGGCATTCTCTGTTCGAGTATTGGCCCTAGATGACGCTCGAACAACCAACGGATTTAAAACTAAACCTGCGACCATATGCTTCAGAAGTGAAGATGTCAGAAGAAAAAAAAAGAACCGATAGCTATTAGAACGACATGAGTAAAGCCTTAAGAGTTCTATCACACACTTTTGCTTTGCATGGGAAGGGCATGAGAGCTATTCATACACGTCCCGAAGATTTGACTGTTCTTGAATTGGAGTGAACTGACTCCGGCAGTGACAAGTTTTATGGCTTCAATCACCATATGCAGTTCCAGAAGACTCCTCTCAGTTGCCTGAGAAATCACTGCTAAACTACACACACACACACGAGTAAGCGACACATATAACATTTGCTTGAATGCATTTGATCCTTTTAATAAGAAGACTCAGAACTTTGAATAATTATTCAATTGCATAGATTAACTTAAAAAACTCTCCGCCAATTGCGATGGAGCTCAAAGAATCATTATTGACAATGTTTTAGTTTCGGGCACAAAGAATCGTCGACTTGTGGTTATTGACAATGTTTTAGTTTTGGGCACAAAGAGTCGTTGTTATTGACAATGTTTTAGTTTTGGATATGTATTGGACTGAATAAAAATACAACATAAACGTCTCTTTCTCATTACTTTCTATGAAGTTTTGGCCAACGGAAATTCTTTTTTTACCATAGGCCCCAATGGAGTTAGAATTATACTGGATTGTTGTTGTTTTGTAACTTGAAAAACTCTGAAGCTAAAGAGTATGGTTGGGGATAGCTTTTTCCAATAAGCTGCTAAAACTAAACGCTAAAGCTGTCAGAGGATTACAAACACAGAAAGGAACAAAGAGCAGTGGTTCTTTCAAGAATCTAATCAAACACCTGGCATGCAAGACAGACTGAACTTGTTGTCCGGTACGCATATCATATGGTAAAAATAAAAACAAGGTTTCCAAATGAGAGCGATGGGCAATCGCGAATCGACTCACCTGCGAGAAAGGTTTCAATTGTTGTCTTCAACATTGAGATTGAGGTCGACGCAACTGATGGAGGAAGCTGGCATTGGATTTCCTTGCAAAAGAACAATTGAACCATTCTTTTTTACGCCTACAATTTGCTCATAGTTCATTTGTCTTTTCATGATTGAGTTTTGGGCTGGTTTTACTGCGGATTTTAGTGCATTTTTTTGTGTGGCTGTTTTTCAAGAGGGGAGCATTAACTCTCATTGTTACAGTATTTGATTTTGATAACTTTTATTTGTTTGCATATTTTAGTTTACCATTTGATAAAGTAAAATATTTTTATCGTCTCCGGTTTCGTAAAAGTTTTGATGTAATTTATAAAAATTTAGTTTTTATTTTTATACCGATTTTTAAACTAAATTATTTTAAGAGTGATAAAAGTTTACTTGTTGTTCAAACTTCAATGATAATTTCGGGAAGGAGGAACTGAGGGAGCACTTCTTTCTTTCGACTTTTTTTTTAAATTTTTTTTTCAGTTTTCAATTTTTTTACAATATTTTTTTAATTTATTCCCATTCATTCAAATTTTATTTTATAAATATGAATTTAAAAGTTATCCATTTTTCCCCACCCAGCACCCTCTCTCTTAATCGCCATTTTAGTAGTTTAAATTTTCCAAAATTGCAATTAAGCTAGGTAAGTGCAGGGGGGACTGGAGTGGGGGTAGGTCATAGGTGTTAGGTGTGAGGTTTAGGAGTCTATTATGAAGATCATCAATTTTACAAACAAAATACTCTAAGTATCCCAATCAAATTTTTGCACAATTGTTGAATATGTTTTTGTTGTAAGTTTAGTCTTTCCTTTTAAGTATATACTCGGTAAATAATTTTCATTTCTACAACAATTTTCAAATAAAATAAATTGAAAATAGTTAACGCCAACCACGTTCAATTGAAATTTGAAAAAAAAAATTGGGACCAAAGGATTCAAAAAATTTATGATAGAAGTTTATAAAATTTGACAAGCACAACCCTATCTTTAAAAGATGCAATATGTAAAGTCAATTGCTAACACAGCAAATATATGCACAAAAGTGATAGGATGGAGAGGGTTTCAATGTTTAACTTCTTGTTTGGTTTGTTGAAAGGGAGGGGAGGAGATCACTGTCTTTGGCTTTTTGCCATAAGGTGTGTTTGGTTGAAGAGTTTGGGGGCGCGGACGGGGGTATGCTGGATACAATTCCCTCCAAACTCTTCAAACCAATCGAGGGGAGAGGAGCATTTTGCCTCCCTCCAACCAAACACGCCTTACGAGCTCTAATAGCATATTTTGATCTAATCCGCACAACTATACTCCCCCCCCATCCATCGACCATAAGCGGAGCGACTTTTCATCCTTCAAAAATGTTCTTGCTCTTCTTCTTGTGTTCTATCTGCTGCATTTTTATCTGCAACAAGGGTTCAAAAAGAGATGAAACAGTCTGATCCCTTCACACAATGGCAGAGCCAAATAAAACATTACTTTAGTGGTGGCAGGGGCAGCTGGGCAGGGATAATTCAGAGTTGTAGTAATACATGGAGGACCCAAATGACAATTACATCTACAAATCCAGTAAAATCCCAAAAAACTGAGGTCTAGGGAGGATATGGAGACCTTACCCCTTCCTAGAAAATAGAGAGGTTGTTTCTAAGAGACCCCAGCTCGAAACACAAGAATTCCGAGAGAACAGGTCAGCAAGGGAAAAAAGGAAAATTAGAAAGAGATACAGTAAAAGAACCAAACACACTCTCTACTTCAATAAGGTAAAGCAGCAAGTCTTGCACATGGAGAGACCACTCCCACCAAGGCCAAGCCTACGCATGGAGAATTGATGCTTACTTTTGTGTCATTTAAGCGTGTAGTAAAACCCACTGTCACTTGGAGTTTGTTCGTCAACATTTTCTATTTTTTTGAAAACTAAAAATATTTTTATGAAAACCAGGAATTATTTTAATTTTGTTGTTGTTGACAGTTTTCAAAATTATGACTACATTTTTAGTACGGAGTAGAACTTGTATCATAATCTCTATGTCTTCGAAAATCATAAAACAAAAAGCTGAAGAGTTACACTGATATGGAACAAGGCCTTAGCTTTACAAGAATTTTACTTTTAAAGGAATAGAGTTGACTTTCAAGACTGAACTCTTTTATGGGCATAAAAATTTCTTAAATCAATTCTTTTGTTGTAGAATTAAAATTAACTTCAGTCAAGCTTCCTAATCCATCCCCACCACTTCCATCACAAGAAAAGGAAACAATATTTATGTTGCAATTGCATTGGTAAGTTATTCAGCATTTACCTTGCTGATCACCTGACCCGCATCCCAACCACTCTTCCAATTCCGCCTCCCTTGTTGCCCTAAATTCCTCATACTTGTTTGAAAAAGACATCAGCTGATCATTAATGCCTGTCTCTGCAACAGTTGAGGAAGAAGGCTCACCACCATCCTTCACTTGAATATGCTCCTCTTTGGTTTCAGGTTGAGTCCACTTGAAGCTTCCAGCTTTTCGCCTGGCTGATTTCAATATATTTAAAAGAGAGCCACTGTTATTATCATCACCATACAAACGACTTGTACTGATACGCCCAATAGCAGAACTCTCCCTAGGAATATTTATTAACCCCTTTTTGGGGTGGTTTGATGCCATGACAGCAAGCGAATGTTTGATGTCTCTGCTCATCTCTTCAGCAACTGGAAAGCCAAACTCTTTCATTGATCTTGTCATTGTTATAGAATCCTCTAAATCTTCCATGTGTAAGTTCACCTCGTGAGATTTTGCAACCAATTTCCTGTTAAGGTTGATGAGATTTGGAACTGCGTTGTGTGTATGCTGTTGAATGTAGAAAAGCCCCACCGATGGCTCATTTGCCAGAAATTTTATCATGTCTCCCAAGCTATTAGTTATATCCACAAAACCATGCACCATAGAAAGCTCATGCATCCTCTTTATGGAAAAAAGCTCATCATCGCTGCCAAACTCATCCAATTACAAAAAAGTAAGAACCAAAGTTACCAGCTATGTAGCTGTGTGACAGTGTAATCTACGGTATCATTTAGAAAAAAAATTGTTTTTTGGGGTTTTTGGTTTCACTTCTCTCTCATAATTGCAATCAGAGTTTGTGCTAGGCAGTCATATTTTTCTTCAGTTTCTGAAAACAAAATAAAAATGTATGATAACTATTAGATGCTTTCATTGTTTGCCCCTAAGAACATGTTTTGAATTCGACACATTTATAAAAGGTTCAGTTTCTTTATATAAAGCTTGTACATGTTCATTATATAAATTATTTAAATTACATACATGACAGATCTGCCAAAAATTATTTATGTTTTAGAAATATGAAAACAAAACAGTTGAAAACAGATAATATAAAACACAAAGCATGAAACATTACATGTGAAAACAGAGTTATTTGGTAATACAGAGTATAAACGTCTGCCGAGCATGGCCCATTATCTGTTCAATGAATTAAAAAGATTGCCCATTTGCTAAGAGTATAAAGCATCAAGAAACTGCCGTGGATTGTCTTTCTCAAACTTTAATTTTTAATCCTTCACGGCCAGTCATATGATAATGGCCAATCGTTAACCTCTACACATATGCAATTAGATCATGAAACACAACCAAACTCATGGTTGTAATTTAGTTATTTACCTTATAAAGATGCATTGCATATACTGGCTAGCACAACATTGAAATAAGTCAAATAACAATGAGCTCATTATTTTTTAGATTAAAACCAATGAAAGCATCCCAGATAGTCAGAGGCTCAACTAGGTTACCAAGACAAAGGAACCTAGCATTCTGTGCTTGGTAAAAAAAGCCTTCTGACTTTGGTAAGATAAGTTCTATACACATAATCCCAAAACATGCTCTTTTGAAAACTAATGAGAGTTTTGAATTCCTGGAAGTCACATTTAGCATAACTTTTGAACTTATTATGCCTAACGTAAATATGAATCATTTTCAGAAAGAGCAATACCAAATGGAAAATGAACAGAATGTGAGCCAAGTTGTTTTCTTAAAATTGAAACTTCTCAAATTTAGAAATGTTTTGAATATCACTTTTTGGACATTCTTAAATTAAGAAGTAAAAAGCCAACATAAGAAATGAATAAATTAAGAATGAGACACCATTAGAAAAAGAAGTGAAAAGCCAACATAAGAAAGAAAGAAAGAAAAGGGTAAATATCCACACCAGTATAACTAGCGCCCATGAACTCCAAGAAAGGACTCACATCTCGTCTCTATCAGTAGGGCTGTTCAACGGTCTAAGACTGGACCGAACCGGACCGGACCGAAGACCGAAATGAGTAAATTCAAGGACCGAAGACCGGACCTAAATCTACTCGGGTTTGGACCGGACCGGACCGAAATATTTAGGACCGAACCGGTCCGGACCGATTGGACCGAAAAAAATACATGTTTTTTTAATTATTTTGATCAATTAAATATATTTTAGACTTTTTACTTTGTACCATTCAAATAGAAAATGAATAAAAAAATATGCAATCTTAAAATGGATACACAATATGAACTACTTCAATGTAGAACCATAAAAACAAATATGAAACATTTTTTAAGATTTTTTTTAAAATTACTTTATAAAAAACCTTTTTAATTAAATAAATTAAAATATCTATTAAAATAGAGCATCAAAGTAGGGGTGGGTTCGGAAAACCGAAAACCGAAGACTGAACCAAAATCGATCGAACAATACCAACAAAAAAACCGCACCGCAAAAACCGAAACCGAACTCCAAAAACCGAACCGACCCGATTGCATTCGGTTTCGGTTTCGGTTTTGGCTATTTAAAACCGAACCGAATTGTAAAAAACCGAATAGTACTTACTTCTAGGTTTTTATGTTTACGGAATACGGATTTACGCAATTACGCGTGAGTCACTTGTTCGATTAGGAGACGCAGTCCAACACTTCCTCAGTCGCAGATTTGCGTTCCAGGCTTCCAGAGTTCCAGCGCCATCGGCCTTCCAACACTTCCAATTTCCGAGAAACGAAATCGGGTTACAGCAGATTCTCAGACGCAGTCCAACAAATTACTTCAAGCGCCATCAAGTAGGAATTTTCCAGACGCAGACGCAGATTACTTCGGCCTATTGAATTCGCAGACGCAGTCCAGATTACTTCAGCCAATTGGTTTCTTCTTCAAGGACAATCTGCCTATTGACCTTAGTCTACAAGCGCCGTCCAACACTTCCGAAGTTAGTGACGAGAATCTTCAATTTTTGTCCAAGATTGAAGCATCTAACCCAAGAAGGTATGAAATCATATGTTCTTTAATTTTTTTATCAAATGATTCTAGCAATTGAAGTTTCCTAAACTGTAAATTTTTTCCCAAAGTATAAATTTTCCCCAGATTGTAAGTTTTTCCTAGACTGTAAATGTTCCCCAGACCTAGACGTAGCAATGGAAGTTTCCCATAAATATTTTGGTATTGTGTTCATTTTTTACTAGTATATCCTACCTAATTGGAATGCATATAAATATTCTTTTTGTAGGTTTAATATGGCAGATTCATTCTTTTTGCAGGTTTAACATTGAAGATTCATTCTTGCAGGTATTGTGTTCATTTGTTACCAGTATATCCTAGGATGATTAAATCTTAAGCTGGAGACAACATAAGATGTATTGAAAATTGCTGTCTTTTGTTGGTAGAATCAAACCTCAGCAATACTAAGACATAAAGAAAACATCTGTTCTTGCATTTAATAGAGTGAGTCACTTTTGGTGGCTTAATCACTAGAATAACTTCTAATTACTAAAAATAATTAGTGGTATGCAGAAATAATTTAACTTTTCTCCTTTGAAGTGTGCTGTGACATGTACTAAGAGGGCATGCGGAAGAAATTGACAAGGCTCTCAGCTAAAATATCAGTATCACTTCCTCTTTATTTTGTTTTTGTTTTTTTTGATGGGGAAAAGGAAATCAACTCTTATTGAGGATGAGAAACAAGAAAGATGTAGTATGTGTTGCATTCTGGCTGTAATGATTGCGGAGATGGACTTGTTTTTGGGGAGACGGACTTGTGTTTTTTTACTTGTAATTGCAGTTTATTTATTTTACTTTTAAATTAAATTTTTTAAAAACCGAAAGAACTGAAAAAACCGAAATTTAAACCGCTAAAAACCGAACCGTATAACGATTGGTTTTCTATTTTTTCTACAAAACCGAACCGAACCGCACTGCCAAAATACCTTCCGTTCTGTCTTTGGTTTTAGGTAAAAACCGAACCGTTTAAACCGAACCCACCCCTACATCAAAGTGTAATACGGAACTTAAAAAGTAGAGTTTTAGTATTTATGTCTTTTAGGTCCAGTAGGGTCATTAGGTCATCGGTCCGGACCTAAATCATTTCGGGTTTGGACCGGACCGGACTGAAACCCGAATGCCTAAAGTTTCTGGACTGAAGACCGACCCGAAATCCATTTGGTCTGGGTTCGGTCGGGACCTAACGGTCCGGTTCGGTCGGTTTTTTCGGTACGGACCTAAATGTGAACAGCCCTATCTATCAGGCATTTCATCAAACACTTTCCTTGCAACCCCCAACCCGCCAGATGCAAAAGACAACAGGAAGGGCGAAAACATACGTGAAATGATACCTATATACTCTGTTGATATATCCCAGTGAAGGGTGTTAAAGATTCGATGTCTGATTTAGAAAAAATGGAGCTTTACCTGCGATTTGGATGTGTTTTCCCATGTCTTTCCTCTCTTCCCTTACCCTTGGTAGTTTCTTTTCTTTCTCGAGAATCAAATAGGGGAAGTGGAGTTTTTTGAATTCGGGGCAGGTAATTTCTGGAAAGAAGAATATTTGAGGATGATGGTCATCAGATATTGACAGGCATGTGATTCTTTGTGCGAAGAGGAAGATGAATGAGGCAAGGAACTGAAGGAAGCGCAAATTATTAAAATCTTACCTTAATTCATAGTTCTATTTGTAAATTTTACAATATAATTGTGTTAGATGTCATGTCATTAACTATATTTCTATAAATATTACTCTCTCCGTCTGTAAATATTCTTCCCACTTTCTTTTTTGGTCCGTCTAGAAATATTCTTCTCATTTCCTCTTTTAATATACTTTTTAAGGATAAATATCAATAATACCCTTCTATTTTATCACAAATCTATTTTTTTAGTACTTTTTTTATAATAAAAGGAGGAGTAGGAACCGTCAATTTTACGAACGGGACACTGGAACGCCTTTGGGTCATCCTATGACATTGGTTTCCAATGTCATAGAACCTTCCCCAATTAGAATAAATAAAATGAAGTATTAATTTATTGTTAGTGTTATTTTTGTGATATGGTGTGACTTACTTTTTACGGAGTACTAAATATGGTTGTATTTCACCCTTATTCGAGAGGATTTTTTTTAAAATAAAAAAAGTAGCTAGTGTATTTAATTGGCTTATCTAAATCATCTTTAAGATAGCTAGATAAAACATAAATCGTGTTAAATAAGTTATTTCTAATGAAAAATTATAATCGCCAGTCTCGTGTCATTTATGTGATTATTTATATATATAAGGATAATTTACTTAAACAGGACTAAAACATAATTATTTTCTCAAAATAGGACCGTATGTTTTCAATTTTCAATGTAAGACCATTGGTCATTATCTATTAGTCATTATTCAACTAAATGTCCAGCATCACTTAGACATTATTCTTCTCACTAGTCATTATTAAGTCCTATTTAGAGAATAAAAAAGTTTAAGTCTTACATTGGAAAATAACTTATGTTTTAATCTTATTCAGTGCAAATTTCACTATATATAAATGTAATGTAATCTTATTTTTGTTTGGTCAAAATACCGTTATATTACTTATGACCAATTTTTCTTTAATTTCAACGGAGGCTAATAAAAAAAATATTGCTTCATTTGTCTCGATCTCCTTATTGTTGTCACATAGATTTGTGACATGAGGAATGCTAGGGGTACACCATTTAACCAAATGGTGTACCCCATTTGTCCCCCACCCCTTTCTCCACCACTTAATTTTTTTTTATTTTTTTTTATTTTCTTGCCTTTTATTGTGGTGATGGAGGGGGTGGGGGACAAATGGTGTACCCCTAGCATTTTTCTTGTGACATACTAATGATTAAAAAAGAGTAATGCTAGGGGTACACCAAAAGGTGTACCCCAAATGTATACCACCATCTTTTTCTTGACACATTTTTATTTAATTTTTATTTACTTATTTTTTTTTGAATTTTTTTTACCTTTTTTAGTGGAAAAGGAGTGGGTGGGGGATATTTGGACAACTCAGATAGAAAGATCACAATAGACATACATACTCCCTCCGTCTCTAATTTGATTACAAATTGCGGGTTACAGAGTAAAATTTCCTACTTTTGAAAATCATTTTATTTACAAACTGGTATATCAATAAGATATAAAAATTACATATTAAAAAACGACGTCAAATGTTCTACAAAACAAGAGGTGACAAGAATATTTTATTTTATCAAATAGTTAATAAAATCGCGTAAACAAACAAAAGTTATCGAGAGAAGAAAAAAAAATTGTAATCTATTTAGGGACGGAGGGAGTATTAGAAACGAAAAATTATAATTCGGAGTGTGATTATATTTTAATTTTTAATATTAATTATAAAAAGTAAAGAAAATAAGAGTGCAAGTTATTATGTGAAAATTATTGCTCCAAGTAATACGATTTGAGATAAAATATAATTCTCCAATACATACGCTTCCACAATCTTTATGATGGATTAGGGATTTTACCTAATCCAATACTCCCTCCGTCCCTAAATAAACTTTCCCTTTCATTTTTTCTTTGTCCCCAAATAAACTTTTATTTTCCCTTAAAAAACCTCTTTTACCCCTTACTTTTTCATACCCTACCTATCACATCATACCTTTTTACTAATGATCTACATATCACATCTTACTTTTACACATCACATCAAGGGTATTTTTGGAAAGTCAACACAAAAATATTCCTCCCTTAAATCCTCAAAAAGTCAAAAAAGAAAGTTTATTTAGGGACGGAGGGAGTATTATTTGAACAGTACAAGAAAGCCCAATTTTATCTAGCCCAAGATATAAATCAGATAAATTATTCAATACGGAACCAGAGATATATATGGACAGAAAAATATATTTGAAGTGATGTAAAAATATTCAGTAGAGCCCATATACAAAACATGTGCACATGGAGGTGACATGGCCACCTCAATGCATTGTTGGGGATGCATGCATGTACTCTCCTTTATAATGGGCATTTACGCATCAAGGAGGAGGACAGAAGATGGAGGCCAGATTCCTGCAACAACTTACAACTATATATTTTTCATTCTTTTTCTTCTTTAAGCTTGGAGCTCCATTAATGGCTCCAAGCTCATACAATGATGTATATGTAAATTCCCCCGAGATTAATAAAAGTTCCTCCCCTTTGGCATGGCACTGCCTAAAAAGGCCCGTGGTTTCTCCCGATTTGGGTTTCCACGTATAAATACTTTCTCTCCGCTTTATTTATTTATTTAATTTCCGGATTTCGCTATTCGGTGCGGTGCCGACCCGGTACCGATTTCGTCGGGTGAACGCCCCGAAAAAGCGGTTTCCATCACTTTATAATTCTCATTTATTTAAATTCAAAATGAACATGATTGTACTACATATTATTTAGACATACAAACATCAAGTTGTGTCCAGTTTTTGTAAGCTCATTCACTAGTTGATCGTTGCTCCAAAATTTTGAGCCCCGTGTACCTGCATGCATATATAAATAGATATGTGAATAAGACTCACCAAATGACTTTCATCAAATGTTAATCATCATAAGTGGGTGATTAAGTTTTACAAAACACACATGCATGCATGTAATGATTCTTTGTGTAGAAAGAATATATTAATATTAAATTATTATGATAATTTAATGTTTTTTTCCCTGTAATTTGCGATGAAAATTAAAAAACATGGACCTAGAAATTCAAAACGAGAAGAAAGATATTGAAAGGAGGAAGTACAATAGAGTATAAAAAAATTTCACGGGCTTACAACTACAAAGTTAAATTTGTGAATAGCTTGGTTCCTTGACATGATAGAGTAAATTGTTGAACTAGATGTTAGAGTTCTCACATCGGAAAATAAAGAAGAATACCATTACTATATATATAAGGGTGAAACCCCATCTATCAGCTCAAGTTTTTGGGCTAGAAAGTGGATCCTGACTGTTGAAATATTGGAATGATAATATTTCTCCTTGAATTACGAAGTACATGATAGAGTATATATAGAAGAGATTCCTAACACAACTAGGAATAGAGAATAGAGACTAACTAAAATACAACATATACTACAAATAAGATTAGGAAGTTGACTAATAATGAAACACTACTATAACCAATACTACCAGAAGTAATATTAGTATTATTGTCTAACATTCCCCCTCAAGCTGAACTCTGGCTGAAGCAAGAGGAAGCTTGGACACTAGATGGAAACTTGAAACTTTGAGAAGAGAGAAGTCGGACATGCGCCGGTGGCTGCTCACGTCGTTGGAGAAGAGAGAAGTGTGACGCATGCCGGTTGCTGCTGACGTCGTTGGAGAAGAGAGAAGTCTGACGCGCATTGGTAGTTGTAGACATCGTTCAAGAAGAGAGAAATTGACGTGTGCTGGTAGCTGCTGACGTCGAAGAAGAACAGAGAAGGTTGACGTGCGCTTGTAGCTGCTGACGTCGAAGAAGAACAGAGAATGCTATTTGAGGTGCCTGTTTGACTGAAGATCTTTGACATTCTTTGTCTTTTTCTTGGATCCGGGCAATGCCCTATTTCTTTCTTGAAGGGGTGTAGAAGGATTCTTTCCTCTTTCACTACTTCCTCTATTGGCGTTGCTTTTGTGTTATTTTTTTTTTTGGATTTTTTATTGGTTCAACAAAAGAAAAAGAAAAAGGATCGAGGTTGATGATTAGAATGAGTGATTTTAGAGAGGAAAAAAAAGATGGATTAAGAATTGGTGATGGAGAAAAGATCTACATACATATGAGATTCTTATATGGTAAATTGGAGAGAAACAACAATCTTTTTCCTTTTTTTTGAGAAGATAGGATGATCTCACGGAGTTTGTGAGGAGTTGGTTTTTTTTTGAAGAACCATGGAGATAAGAAGAAAGAAGTTTATCCTTTGATAGTTTTTTTTGTGTGATTTCCACGGGGTTTTTTTCTTTTTTTTTCATTTGAATGGAGAAATTGATTTGAGGATAAAAAAGGAAAAGAAAAACTTGAGGGGGGATGTTAGACAAGAATACTAATAGTACTTATTGTAGTATTGGTTATGGTAGTGTTTTATTGTTAGTCAGCTTCCTAATCCTATTTGTGGTAAATGTTTTATTTAGTTAGTTTCCATTCTCTATTCCTAGTTGTGTTAGGAGCTTATCCTATATATATTCTATCATGTACTCAATAATTCAGGAAGCAATATTATTATTCCAATATTTCAACATGGTATCAGAGTCACCGCTCTAGGTGACCTAAAACTCTCTGCGCTCGCTTCTGGCGGGCGGCGCCGCCATTAGCCGCCCGCCGGGCCGATGTTATTCTTTCTTCAATTTTAAAGATTGGCAACTCCTCAAAAACTTTCTCAACCCATCCCTTTTTTTTCCTCTCAAATCACTCATTCTAATCATCAATCTTTCTTCTCTTTCTACCCAACAAATTCTAAAAAAACAACACAAAAGCAAAGCCAAGAGGGGAATTAGTGAAAGAGGAAAAAATACCTCTACACCCCTTCAAGAAAGAAATAGGACATTGCCCGGATCCAAGAAAAAGACAAACAATGTCAAGGATCTTCAGTCAAACAGGCACCTCCAGTAGCCTTATCTATTCTTCTTCGACGTCAGCAGCTACAAGCGCACGTCAACCTTCTCTCTTCTTCTTCGACGTCAGCAGCTACCAGCCCATGTCAATGTTCTTTCTTCTTCATCGACATCACCAGCTACCAGCGCACGTCAATTTCTCTCTTCTCCAACGACGTTAGCAGCTACCAGTGCACGTCATACTTCTCTCTTCTCCAATGACGTCAGCAGCCACCGGTGCACGTCAGACTTGTCTCTTCTCTAACGACGTGAGCAGCCACCAGCGTACGTCAGACTTCTCTCTTCTCAAAGTTTCCAGTTTCCAGCTAGTGTCCAAGCTTCCTTTTGCTTCAGCCAGAGTTCAGCTTGAGGGGGGATGTTAGACAATAATACTAATATTACTTCTGGTAGTATTGGTTATGGTAGTGTTTCATTATTAGTTAGCTTCCTAATCCTATTTGTAGTAGATGTTGTATTTTAGTTAGTCTCAATTATCTATTCCTAATTGTGTTAGGAGTCTCTTCTATATATATACTCTATCATGTATTTCATAATTCAAGGGAGCAATATTATTATTCCAATATTTCAACATGGTATCAGAGTCACCGCTCTTGGTGACCTAAAAAAAGTTCTTTGCTCCCGCCGCCGCCGCCGGTAATTCCGGCGACGGCGGCTCCACCCTATTCACCTCTATTTTCTTTTTCTTCTTTATCCTCAAATCAACTTCTCCATTCAAATGAAAAAAAAGAAAAAAAAACCCTTGTTGAAATCACACAAAAAAAACTATCAAAGGAGGAACTTCTCTCTTGTCATCTCCATGGTTCTTCAAAAAAAAAAATCCAACTCCTCACAAACTCTCTCAGATCATCCTATCTTCTCAAAAAAAAGAAAAAAAAATGATTGTTGTTTCTCTCCAATTCACCATATCAAAATCTCAAATCCAAATTTTTTTTTCCATCTCCAATTCTTAACCTAATTTTTCTCTCTAAAATCACTCATTCTAATCATCAACCTCCCTTCTCTTTCTCTTGTATTGAACCAATAAAAATCCAAAGTAAATCAGCACAAAAGCAAAGCCAAGAGAGGAAGTAGTGAAAAAGGAAATAAGACCTCTACAACTCACCCCTTCAAAAAGGAAATAGGGCATTGCCCGGATCCAAGAAAAAGACAAAAAATGTCAAGGATCTTCAGTCAAACAGGCACCTCCAGTAGCCTTCTCTATTCTTCTTCTACGTCAGCAGCTACAAGCGCACGTCAACCTTCTCTCTTCTTCATCGACGTCAGCAGCTACTAGCGCACGTCAATTTTTCTCTTCTCCAACAACGTTAGCAGCTAGCAGTGCACGTCAGACTTCTCTCTTCTCCAAAGATGTCAGCAGCCACCGGCGCGCGTCACACTTCTCTCTTCTTCAACGACGTGAGCAGCCACCGGCGCATGTCTGACTTCTCTTTTCTCAAAGTTTCCAATTTCCAGCTAGTGTCCAAGCTTCCTCTTGCTTCAACCAGAATTCAGCTTGAGGGGGGATGTTAGACAAGAATACTAATAGTACTTATTGTAGTATTGGTTATGGTAGTGTTTTATTGTTAGTCAGCTTCCTAATCCTATTTGTGGTAGATGTTTTATGTTAGTTAGTTTCCATTCTCTATTCCTAGTTGTGTTAGAAGTTTATCCTATATATATTCTATCATGTACTCAATAATTCAGAAAGCAATATTATTATTCCAATATTCCAACACTGACTTTATATGCAAGTGATTAATTTTACTCAACACTGCACCAATTGTTCTCGGTCCACCGGAATTTTAACATGTATCAAAGCAGGTTCGGTCTGGGCTCGTATCTTCCTGGTCGGTTGGACGCGAGTTTAGGAAAATGAGCTATCCATCAGTGGTTTGGGTTGAGCTGACTATAAGAGATGTGGGCTAGCTATAAGAGATTGAAACGCTATACCCGTTTTTCCAAGTGTTAACTAGGTCAGACTATTTACCACTTGAAGGGGTGTTGGAGATTCCCACATTAGAAAAATAAAGAAGAATACTACTAGTATATAAAAAGAATACTACTAGCATGTAAGAAGTTTATGATTGAGTTGATTCTTTAAAAGATTACCTTCCAAACATCATGACGGTTGCTTGAGGATTAGTTCCTGGGGAGCTAGAAAATGTGGACCCGTCAACAACCCGCAAAGCATCAACGCCGATCACCTTATAATCACGATCCACTACATTATCGACCCGGCATCCTCCGTGGAAATGCCACATGGTAAGGACATTGTCCACACAAAAATCCTCCAATGAAGCACCATACTTGAGGCGGTTTTTCTGCCTCATGTTAAAGGGAATGGCGGACATCAAGTCCAAGAGAGATTCGAACGAGGTCGAGGGGTTTCGCAACGAAGCAAAGGACTCCGACTCGAAGACTTTTTTAATGACTTCCATGCCTCGCACGCAGGTCTGAAGGTCCCTCGGGTCTTGAAAGTAGTTAAAGGTGACCGTTGGATTGTCATTGGGATCCCTATTCTTAAGCTCCATGTGCCCTTGAGAGAAAGTTTTGTTCACTTTTTCCAACATAATTCCACCTTGCATCTTCATGTCCGGAAACGACAGGTCGTCAAAACCAGCTCGTCTGAGGATTTCTATGGCTTTGGGGACCATAGACAATCCACTTAGCGTTTCGATGTAATTTCCTGAATGAGTTATGCCCACCACGTCACTAAACGAGGTCTCGGTCGGGCGAATGGACGGAATTATGATTCCATTCAACGGGTTGTCGGCCATGCCCTGCCCAACCATTGGCTGGTCAAGTACTACATCTATTCCGTGGGCTTTGAGATGGTCGGACGGCCCAATGCCACTAAGCATCAATAGTTGTGGGCTTCCAATTGCACCAGCCGAGAGAATGATCTCATTCTTGGGCCCTTCATTCAAGAACACCATGTGACCATTTCCTTTCAAGTCTTTGAAGAAAATTCCATAGGCTTTGGGGTTATTTTCCCCTGCATTGTATTACACATATCTCATTAAGATTATAATCATGGTAGCATGTGAATATATATAGTGCTTCGAATATAATGTTACGTTGTCTCAGAATAAATAATAATTGACCTGATGAAGGCCTCTTAAACAAGATTTGGTGAGCCACGGCATGGAAATAGAGAGTGATCTTAGTGTCGTCGGCATACTCTAACAAATCCGCGGCAGTGTGTCTATACCCATTCTCGTCAAAAATAGAATTTCCTATTTTGGTCCCCTCCAAGTGGTCATAAGTCCCTCCGTTGTAGGGCACCACCCCGGCCTCCAACAACCCGTCCCTCACAGCTGCCTGCCACCGCAACAGCCGTTTAGGTCGGAACGTCACCTTCCGCTCCACCCACGCATACGATTGGTTCACCAGATGCGGGTCCCACCCTGCGTCGGAAACCTCCTCCCTGCTTGCCCTTGAGTAAAACCCAACATTGATGGCGGAGCCGCCGCCCAAAATGCGGGCCCGGGTCAAACGCACGCCATCCGTTGACACGAATGGCTGTGCGGCTGAGCCCGGCGACGTGTCGAAAAATATGTTCAAGAAACCGCTTTGGCGTGTCAAGTTCGGGTTGTCGTATGGCATGCCGCCCCTCTCGAGGAGGAGTACTTTCGCGGAGCCTGATAGCGTCGCAGCCAGTGCACATCCGGCGGTTCCGCCTCCGATGACTATGTAGTCGTAGTGCCCCGCGGACGCAGATGCCAATGTTGCATCTTTGGCAAAAGAGTTGTATGGAGCTAATGATACAGCCAAAACACAACAATGTATGTATGTAAGGATGTGCGCACTCAAAAGATAAATTATTATTTTTTGTAATAAAAAAATGATAAGTTTTGACCATTAATTAAACGAAATTTACATTATATATTGATATAAGGATAATTTATTAGATTTAGTTTTTAAAATATTACTTTATCTAATTGATGTATTATGTAACATTTGTGTTTTCAGCAGTCGCGAGAACTTTTATTTATTTCTATGTTTTCATTACTTATTTGATAAAATAAAACATTTTGACACCTCTTATTTCAAAAAACTTTTCATGTACTTTTTTTATATGTAAATTTTATTTTTTATTTCTATACCAATATGTAAATAAAATGAATTGAAAAGGTTTGATATTTTACCTTAGGAATACAAATATTTAAAAAGGGATGGACGAAGTATTTAACTATAGGTAATGAATGATTTGATTGCTGAAAGTAGATAAATGCTTAGGGGGATGCATGGAGTAGAATGTTTATGATGCAATTATTGTATTGGAGATATTACTCCTTCCGTCCTAAAATTTTCTTTCCGTTGCGTAAAATGAAGAAAAATCTCAAGTTTTTTCAATCTATTTTATTTAAATATTGGTATAGAAATAAAAAATAAAACATACATATTTAAAAACTACATCAAAAGTTCAACAAAACAAGTGGTGACAAGAATATTTTATTTTATCATATAGGCCATGAAAAAACACAAATAAATATAAATTCCCGTGAAGTTGGAATAGTACTCTAGGAAGAAAGTTTTAGGACGGAGGGGGTAATATTCATTATGAGAAAGATTAATTAAGAAAGTAGGGATTATTTGAAAATAACTAGTTAGAGTTTTTAGAAAAAAAACTTAAAGTTAAACTACTTCAAAAAAAAACAAGCACACAGACTTATTTAAAATAAATAGATAATAGTTGATATTATTTAAAATAACTGTTTTATTTTTTTAAATTAATTTTTAAATTTGCAAACAATGCAATAACATACCTTTCTCTGCAAGAGAGGATACAATAATTAAAAGGAAAATTCCAAGAGAAGGGGCAAAGAAGGGAAACCACAGCTGGGAAGCCATCATAATATACTTGAACACAATATATATTGATAAACAAATGCTACAAAGATGCAATTAACAACTCTGATCTCTTCTTCTAAGGACTGATTATATTTATAATCTCTTCGTTCTCAAAAATACTCACTCTTTTATTTTTTCCACTTCTAACAAAATACGTCTACTTTCTACGAGTATTAAAAAACCATTTTTACTCTTATTTTAAATACTTTACCTATCACATCATACTTTTTCTCTAATAATTTATCCATCACATCTTATTTTTATTCATCGCATCAAGATTAAAATTAGAAGTCAATTACAATTTAACACTTCCTTATTTTTAGACTTGAGAATCGATTTTTAGAATGAAGGGAATATGTGTTAACATGGGTCCCGCCAAATAAAGGACCACATGCCAAGCCTTTTTGAGATAGGCCCACATGTCAAGCCTTAACCACAAAGAAAAAACAATAGTAAAGAAAAAAAGATGAACTCCATCATTAAAAAACTTTCAGTTCCGACCGGACAGTTACTGAGAGAAAAATAAATTGGACTTTAGTTATAAATTGGTGGCAGAGAATGAAATCTGCACTTGATATTTGCAGAGACCCTATATTTATCATAATTACATTTTAGCATAATTGGCAGAAATTAGTATAATTACCTCTCAGTAGAGTTGGCGGGAAAAATTTGTAAAAAAGAGAGAAGGCTTGAGGTGGCAGCTCGGAAATGGTGAAAGGAAGCGAACTTGATTTTGGCTTTGATTCCTTGGAATAGATAACTTTGTGTAGGGGTATCCCTCCTACATGGAGGAAGGAGTTCCTAAACAATACATTTAATGTTAAAAATGTAATTTGTTTAGAGGTGGAGTAGTATAATAATAATATTTATTATTATTATTATTATAAAAGAAAAAAAAAAGGAAAGGGAATAGTCAAAGTGGGAATGCCACTTTATTGTAAAGGCAAAAGCCTTTTGGCTACTTGACACGGGCAGAACTGCAGCCGCACAGCAGCAGCAGAAACAGAGAGGAAAAATAGAGAGAGCCGAGAGAAGGAAGAAGAGAGAAAAAGAGAGGTGCAGCCTGGTTTTGTGCTCCGATCGGGATGAAATTTTAGTATGTTGTTCCTGAGATCCTCTTCTTCATATCCAACAGTGGGATTGTTGTTTTGACCTCTCGATGTCGGTAAAATCGCCTCTGTTTACTGCTGCGTTTTTATTGGGGTTTTCTCACTTTTGAGTGAAGATTATTGTTGTTTGGTGTTCCAAGTTATTACTTGATGATTGTGTGTACCTCTAATTGATTTAGAGAGGATTCTTGGTGTACCCACTGATTTTCTTGGTGATTAGTGGAAGGCTTCGTGGTTTTCTTCCCGATTTGGGGTTTCCACGTTAAATCTTGGTGTTCGTTTATCGCTTGATTGATTGCTTGTCGTTGTGTTTTCTATTCTTGATTGGTCATATGATTTTGCTCATTTTGCTCATTCTTGTTTGCTATTCTTGGTGATTAGTGGAAGGCTTATTTATTGCTTCCGCTAGAAAATTGAGGTGATTTT